GGGTTTTTGTTTTAGCAAACCTGCTAAGACTGTAAGAAGTGACTTCTCATTGTGGGGGCCGTGGTATGTGAATGTTCCCCTTGAGAAGCCTCAGAGGAGCTGGATTTATATAGCATACAGCTTCTGAACATCAGGCCCCTTTTGATGCATTAGTCTGGTCACCCCAGATCATTAAGCTACATGGTTCTGACTTTACACTGGGCTGACTAAAACTCTGGATTCCAACCCCACAAAGCTTTGATGCAAAAGGGAAGGGTCATTAACAAAAGAATGGAGAGAGTCGTGCTTCGACCTGCATTTGCCTGATGCGCACGTTGTAGCCCAGCCCCTGTGCTTACCCTTCCATCGAAGAGTAGGGAATGTCCTTTTGAAAATGTAGCTGCTTAATTTCTGCCATTTCCCCTCTGTCCCTTTGCAGGAAAAATCAGCCAACTGGCCAGGAGTCCCTCAAGAGGCAGAATTCAGCCACAAGCAAATCGCCTGTCCTGACACCTCAGGCTATCAAACACATCTGGGTCCGGACGGCGCTGATCGAGAAAGTGCTGGACAAAATTGTGCAGTACATCGTAGACAACTGCAGGTAACGAGGGGACCAGACAGCCGGAGTGGTATGGATTTGTCCATCTAGCAAATGGGGTATGTGTTTGCCCCTGGGACTTCATCAGCCTGCTGCCCATGGGCCTAAGCACCGTCAGATTGGGTTGCAAAAAGCAGTTCCATAGTTTCACAACAGGTTTGGTTTTGAAAACACTGATGACTTCTCAGGTGTTGGACAGAATTTCGGTCTGTGACCAAGTTCGTGAAGGAAGGGGAAAAAAAAAACTTTACAAGCCATGCGGATAACAAGGGAATTTATTGGGGACACTTGTATGGCTTCAGACAAAGGATATGGTGAACATCCTGAGGCTTGATTTAGATTAGTCACAAACAGAGGGTATGCCTCCACTCAGTAATGATGCAGCTTGCTCTAAAGCTGTTCAAACAAGTGGTTACATCCCAGGTGAGATGTCTTTGGCTGTGCGAGGTGCATGGTATATTCCCAAAGTTTGGGTTATGTTCTCCTTGGCAGCAGGCAAGTAGAAGAATTTTCCTGGAAAGAAAAAGTGTGGTGGTCAAAGGATATTATTCTGTTGGTAGCATCTAATCCTAGTTTGTTTGGAGAGGGGAGTGGGTGTGTTTTGGAGACAGCCTGGAGGATGGCACTGTCTGGCAAAATGTCCCAAGTGAAGATACTTTGGCCCAAGACCTAGCCCTGCTTTCTTGCTCTGCTGTACAATTTTGCCAGTGATTTCTGCAGGTGCAAGTGGTAAAGGAAGCTCTCACAGTCTTCCCTCCCAGCTTACTAGAAGGCATGAAGCACACCACACTTCTGGGATTATAATGGTTACTCCTGCAGCCTCTGGGTCTGCACTTGGCTAGGTATGTAACTGGTCCCTAATGTACCAAGAAGTACGTTTTAGCCGTAATGACCCAGGAATTATGCGAGAGGCAAGGATTTTTGTGGGAGGTATCTTTGAGCCAAGTGCATGGTTCGGATAAAGTCAGACAAGCTTTCCAATGCAAGGCACAGATGAAGCAGGTCACTAATGAAGAATGGTTTGCATTGGAAAGCTTGTCTGACTTTATCCCAATCACGCGCTTGCTCCAGTAAGAGATACCACCCATCAAAATCCTTGTCTCTTCCAAGAAATATGCATGCTGGCCAAAGCAAGCACATGCAGTTGTGTGGGCCTGGCTTCCTGGGAGCAAAATGTCTTCCTCTGGTTTCCAGTCATGTTTGCAGCCCCGTGTCCTGTCTGGGGTGAGGCATGCCTTGTGTCTTTACTCTCTGAGCTTCAGGGTCGTTTGCTGACTTGTTTTGGTGTTTGAGTTTCTTTTCTTTTGTTCTCCTTTTCTCCCTGACTGTATTTGAGTCCACACGGATCATACTGAAACACTTTCTTTGAAGCACAACAATATGCCTGAGCTCTGCAATGGCCTCAGTGTTGGACTCTGGTGTTTGAGTAGCTCATCCGTGCTCTTTAGGAGGAGAAAACAGCTTTGAGTTTCAGCTCCACTTAGTGGTAGAGATGAGGAGAACGATGGTACAACTGAAGAAATGCTGTTTAGCATTTGGCTCTTTTTGTACCAGGTCAGTCTTTTCTTCAGCTGTATCAAGTCTTTTGGGTCATTGCAAGAGCTGCTGTTGTTAATATTTTAAGAAACAGCTTTCCATGTACCATACTTCGGCTCCAGTGGGTAGCTACTTAAGGCTGCTTGAGACCAGCAGAGAACATTTATTCTTTTTGGTCACAGTGGACGATCTTGGCAGAAATTACTTGCTAAAATGTATTGTTTCTAGTTCTATTACATTAGTGCCTTGAGTCCCAAACTGAAATCAGAGGTGGTCTTATGTCAGGGGTTGTAAAACACTGAAAGGCAAATCCATTCCACCTACGATGCACCTATTCCAACTTGTCACGAGTCCTTGAAAAACTGTTAGCACTTGTATTTTTGTCACTTGCTGTCCTTTTAGAACAAAGTCACAGAGAAGCAGTGCGTAAGAGCAGAACCTGCGCACCTGTGGTATGAACAGCTTTTCAGGGACTGTAACAGGGTAGAAAATGGTCACACTTAGGTGCTTAGCTGCAGGATCAAGTCCTAAGAGTTTGTCTCACTACACAAAGCAGAGCATGTGTGTCTTCCCTCCTGCCACTTACCCACACAATCAAATAAATGGTTAATTTATGGTAGTTTCAGAAGCACCCAAATGACTTGGATGTATAAGTGCCATTGAAAATCAGAGGGACTCGTGCTCCTAAGTCATTTGGCAGCATTTGAAAATACCAACAAGTGATGCTGATCCATTTTTATTTTTTTTATTCCCAGCAAATTTTATGAGAAAGAAGCTCTATTGGCAGATCCTGTTTGTGGTCCAATCCTTGCTTCTCTTCTAGGTATGTTCCTCAAGTATTATGCCAAGGGGCCTTAGAGTAAGAATGCTTGGGGGGCAGTTTGTGGCTTTAGTAAGACAGTGAGATGAATGCTAGTCATGCTGCTGTGTAGTTACTATGTAGTTATAAGCAGGGATCCCACTCTTCTCTGATTCAAAAAAATCCCCAATTTTTGGTTTAAAAAAACAGTACCGTATCCCCAAATCCACATTTTTCCATGATTAAAATGAAACCCCTCTCTCTCTCTCTCTGTGTGTGTGTATATAGAAAATGCAGAGTTGAGGTTACTTTTTTTAAAACCAAAAATAGGGGTTCTTTTAAAACCAGAGAAAAGCAGGATCCCTGGTTATAAGAGCTCCAAGGGAACGGTGCTGGCATTTTTGTTGCTGACCACATTTTCCGAAGCGGAGACACATAAGACAGAATAAGAGCTGCCTCCTCTACACAATATGGGAGAGGACGTGAAACTTTAATTATTTGGTCTGATGAGAGCAGGGTGGAGTCCGGTTTCATAGAGGGCTTGCTGGGTGCAGTTTCCCTCAGCTGGGAGTTGGTGTTAACATTATTGCAATGCCTGTCTGTTATGTGCTTAGCAAGATTTTTCTTGCAGCCATAGTTAATAGGACCTGATTTATTATAAGAGGGAATTTGGCCAAGGTTACATGCTAGGGGAGAGAATGTTTACTTCCATGGCACATGAGGAAAAAGGGCCGCAGTTCAATATCTCATCTGGAGGGATGAGCAAGTAAGTGAGTTTCTGTGTGTCAGTAGACTGTCATGGATCCTCTCTCATTGCTGTTCTCCTAGTTGGACCCTGTGCTCTCGAATATACCAAGCTGAAAACAGCCGACCACTACTGGACTGACCCCTCAGCCGATGAGCTGGTGCAGAGGCACCGCATTCATGGAGCACACGGCCGTCAGGACTCTCCCTCCAAACGCCCGGCGCTGGGAGTAGGTATTTGCTGTGTGCCTGCTTCTTGGTAACTGGCAACGCCTGGTGTTCTGGTGGGGAGGCTTTTTGTCCACGCCGCTGTCCCAGAAGAAAGTCCATGTGGGTCCCAGTATCCCCCTGCCCCTCCCAAGTGTAGATGGGTTTGCAATCCAGCCCTGAAATTCAGGGCTGAGGGTGCCTGGGGTTTTGCCCCCAGTGCCTGTCCCTGTCTCAAGGAAGCTGCAAGCTCCTTTGGCTGGCATGTGGAAGAACCCATGCCACATAAGAGAGAGCTTTTCTTAGTGAAGAGGCACTGTGCTCAGGAGCCTCTGTGTGCAGCTGGCTCCCAGCGCTGTGCCACCTGCCCCCAGAATGGCACCTCTCTCCTGTACCAGATCCGGAAGCGGCACTCCAGCGGGAGCACGTCCGAGGACCGGTTTGCTGCTTCGGCAAGGGAGTACGTGGAGTCTTTGCACCAGAACTCGAGGACACACCTGCTGTATGGGAAAAATAACGTCCTCGTTCAGCCAGTAAGTAGCAAGGCAACAGCCACGCTGTGTTCATGTCTTGGGGGAAGGTTAGTTTCTTCTAGTCACTAGCACAGGGAGTCAGTAGTGCTGCAAAGAACAGAACTGTGCCAGCTCTGAAACAGTGCCAGGACATTTGGCTTTCCCCGTGCGATCCAGGGGGACAAAACACGGTCCCTCCCATCTCATCCTGGAGGCTGGATGGAGCTTGGGCCCCGTTTCAGTGGTGCTCCTCTCCCCTCACCTCCAAAATGGTGAAGAGTAGAGGGAAAACGGATCAGGGTGGGTATAACACAGCCTGTGTTCCTGTACAGGCTCTGCCTCTGTCTGTTGTCAGACTCCCTGCTTTCCTCCCAGTTTGTCCCTCAGCCCCTCAGTTCTACAAGAGAGGGGCAGTATGATCTAGCAGGTGGAACACTGAATGGGAATTGTGTCTGTTGGCCCTGCCACTGGCTCTTTGCCCCCTTTGGCAGATCCCTTTTCCTCTCAGTGCCTCAGTTTCCTCTTCCACCCTTTGTCTGTCTTGTCCATTTAGACTGTACTTTCCTTAGGGCCGGGCCTGTCTCGTGCCATGGATACATGCAGTACCTATTTATTTGGGGACTTTATTTCATGGACGGCTTCTTAATCCTACAGCCACACAAATAATTATTTTACATTTAGATCATATAGGGTCCCCAGTGTAATCGAGCAGTGGACATGAGATGTGCAGCCTGGCCCCTGTGTAAGGTACTAGAATGTGGTGTAGTCATCTCTGTAAAAACCAGAGGTGAAGTTACTCTGTGTCTGCTTAACGCAAGTGATTGTAACTGGCTCCTGCCACCCAGTGACAAAGTACTGGAACAGCATGTAGGGAGGCAACTACCTGGGAAGATCTGGTCACTGTCTACCTTAGACACGAGTGTAACTTGCGCTGGTGTACAAAACTGATGGAAAGTACACCAGGGTTTGTGTTGTGTTTCTAGGTCCCAAGTAGTTTTTAAGCTGTATATTAGGGGCCACTTGTTTCAAAGCTCGCAGACCATTCCATCAGAAGGGCTCCATAAAGGATGGGACTTGTATACATACATACACAAAACACACAGTAGGTGTCCTTGACTGTGCTCCTGAACAGTAAATTTGTTCAGCAAGCTCAACAGGCCACCTTATGTATCTGGATTGGGTTTGGAGGCACTAGGTCTGGGCAAGCATCGATGCTGTAAAGTAGTAACATCAATTGCTCAGAAGAATTTGCTCCGAGAGCTAATGTGCATTCTCAGGTCCAAAAAGGAAGTCAAGCCGCTGACAAGCTTTTATGAGTTTATAAAAGACTCTTGGCTGTTTCAGGTGTGTTAATTTATTACAGTTTTTGCAGCATGCGCTGTTGCTCAGAGCTGTAATTCCCTGACAACTAGCAAAGAAAACGTCAGACGCTTGCAATGTGGTTGTTAATTAGTTGTGTTGTCATAGAATTATAGAAAATGAGGGTTGGAAAGGACCTCAGGAGGTCACATCTAGTCCAACCCCCTGCACAAAGCAGGGCCATCCCAAACTAGATCATCCCAGCCAAGGCTTTGTCTATCTGGGTCTTAAAAACCTTCAAGGATGGAGTTTCCACCACCTCTCTGGGTAACGTGTTCCAGTGCTTTACTACCCTCCCAGTGAGAAAGTTCTTCCTAATCTCTAACCTAAACTTCCTTTGCTGCAACTTGAGACCGTTGCTCCTTGTTCTGTCATCTGCCACTACTGAAAATAGTCCAGCTCCATTCTCTTTGGAGCCACCCTTCGCGTAGTTGAGGGCTGCTATTAATTCTGTTATGACAGTACCTAGAGGCCCCTGTCAAGACTAGAGTCCTTATGTGCTAGGTGCTGTCCAAATGCCATGAGAGATGGTTCCTGCCTCAAAGAGGAGAGTCGAAATGAACACGGGAGACAAAGGTGGCAGGTATCAAAGAGGGAAGCTCTTGGCCAAGGTCACAAAGAAGTCAGCGCTAGAGCCAGGAATATCACCCACATCTGTGCATCTTTTCCACTGAACCAGGAGTGGAGAGCAACGTGGATCTGAAAATACTCCCACTCTCCTGATGTTGCTTTTAAACCTCGTCCCTGACAGCTTTTCAAACAAAGCACTGAGATTTGTGCCTGGTTGGAAGCATGGAGGATCTGCTAGGCCCCCAAGTAGCATGAGCTGGAAGAGTATGTGCCCAGTTTTGCTGAAAGGCAAATACCCCAGAGGATGAAGGGGTAGTGGAAGGGAGATGTGACTGGGAGCAGCATGGGCTTCCATCTGGGCTCTAATTGAGAACTTTTTTTTTTTTTTTAAGCTAATGGCCGGCAGGGAGGCGGTCCTTTGGGACAACATGGAGCAACAGATAATTAGAGTCTGATATTGCAGTATAACCACCCACAATCTGCTTGATCCTTCTCTCCTTTCTGCCTGTGCTGTTGTACTGCAACTCTCCCATTAGGGAAGTTACTCTAACAGCTGACAGGAGAAAGATTAAAACTATCCCTGTTTCACTGCTGGATCCACCTTAGCTCCTCTGATCCTTTTCTTTTTCATGTCCTTGTGTCAAGGTATTCAGCAGAATTTGCAGATTCACTGGAATCTGACAGGGCTGCGCTGCAACCAATTCTGTTATATCCTTGAACATGCAACTTCTGGGCTGTCAACTGTGCCCTAGCACCTGCCCCCCAGCTCCTCTGATTATCTGAATAAGGGGAGCCCAGATCCCTCAGTCTTAGTCCATTCTGCCACTCACATAAATCACACTTGAGCTAGCTTCAAACTAGCTGGCAGTGCAGCTGGGGTAGCAGGGACCTTGGGGCAGGCGTTGCAACCCCTGCTAGGCTTGCTGCTACACCTAGCGAGCGGTGTCTGTCTGTGCGACCATCCGAGGTCTCAGCAAATATAGTTTTGTGAGCAGACTTTTTCCTCCTTCCTGTAAGGGTCAGAAAGATGCAGGTTCTGAAAGAACAGCAAGTTCTTAGAAAGGAGGATGTAGGAAGACGGACACAAGCTGTCTGTGGAATGGAGTATGTATTGGATGCAGTGGACCTGGTGTCCGGCCCGCCTATCCCCGCATTGCGCTGCTACTGCTGTACAGCGCACACTCAAACCTACTGTCAGCAAAGCAACAATTTTGTGCTGTTTTGAAGGCTCTTGTGGGCTTGATTTCATTAGCTGGTGAGTCTGGAAGTCATCTGTTTTGCCCACTCCAGTAATCTGGTGAGGAAGTGCAGTAAATATGGAGAGTTTCTGAGGACATCAGGCCTGTGTGCGACAAGAATGGCCTCCTGCCTATCTTAGCTTTTGTGGAAGTTGCCATTTCCTGCTGGGGAAAAAAATCATAGGTCCGACTGACCAACCCTGTAATTGCAGCCAGAGAGCAGAGACTCAGCTGGGTTGGGGTTTGGGTGTGTGTTTAAGTGAATTCACAGATGATGTTTGGAGTTTTAAGTTGTCGTAAAAGTCCGAATATTGCAATGCCCGAGTGAGCGCCACAGGTCTGAAGTGCTTGCGTCTGGGTCTCTGTGACCCAGGCTGCTTCACACATTAAGCTGCTCTGTTCAACTGACATGAGTCAATAACTGTTCCTATTTCTGACTCATCTACTCACAGGAACTAGTTGGTTAGAAACTGGGAGCTGAGGTAATTCAGCCTGAGCAGGGCAGAAACGAAGGTCACGTACAGCATGATGGTTTATTTTGCAGGACTGGGGACATGGCATTGGTTAGTAAAATGTTTTTCAGTCTGAAAAATACAGCTTGACCCCTGTGGCAAGCAGAGCTTTACTTACCATGCCCTGCTTATGGGCCTGCTGTTGGAAATAAACCCAAGTCCTTTCCTTCATAGAGTTATGCAAGAAGCAAGGATTTCTTAGGGTGGTGTCCTTTCATTGGACCGACTGTGTAGCTGGTTTAGAGTAAGACAGACTATCAGATGCAAGACATTTTTCATTAGGGCTCCCATTTTTAGTCGGAGGTAACCCTCTACCCACAAATCAGGGTCTGTCTCCGTCCAGGTAAGAGTGATGCTTTCACTCCACTAGGACTGTACATTAAGATAGGCCACTTGCGTTAACTGCGTGTTATAACAGCTCACTGGCAATGCACGCAGAGCTTGAGTATCTTTATATGTATATTCTTTCTTAAACAGAGAGATGATATGGAGGCAATTCCTGGGTATCTCTCCCTGCATCAGTCAGCAGATAACTTGACTCTGAAATGGACCCCGAACCAGCTTATGAATGGGACCCTAGGGGATTCAGAACTCGAGAAAAGGTAACATTGACTTTGCAGAGAAGACTGGAAGCACATACTTTTGGTGTACTGATGATGCACTTGAATAAGCAAGTAGCTGTGTGGATTTAATAAAAGGGGCATGATCTGTCATATGGACAAGGGGCTGGGAGGCAGAGGACATGAATTTTATCTTTGCTCCAGTTTGCCGCATTGCTTGGGCAAGGCACTATGGTATGCTGTGCCTCCATTTTCCTTCCTTGTGTGTTTTGTTGGACAATAAGATCCACTCAAGGCCAGTTTCTCACTGTGCACTTGCTCAGTAGCCAGAAAACGGGATGCTCTTGCTCTTTGGGAAACCTCCCACTGCAATGGTGATACTGATAACGGGCAGAAATTGGGGGAAACTGTCCAAAATTGCTTATAAACAAACGCTGGCCAGGGAGGAAAACAGAATTTGCTGTGTGGCAATTCTGACATTTTATTACTTTAAAATTGTTGGTCACTATGCAGACACAGTGCTGCCCTAACATACTTCAGATGATCTGTTCTGTTACCCAGTTTTAGGATCCATTAAAAAAATAAGTTTTATTCAGGGCCTCTGGGTCTGAAGTTCCCTCCCATCATCCCTTCACAGCATCTCAGAACACTAAGCAATCATTTATTAATTCAACCTCAAGGAAGCAGTGTGATACTACCGCCCTTTACTAAAACACAGGTCCATCACCTCTAGCGTCCTAAGTACCCCATCCCCTGCTGCATCCAGCAGAGATGAAAGAAACCTGGCAGGTGCAAACCAGTCCCTAGGGAACCTTTCTCCCAATCCCTAGCTGCTTGGTGTTGGGTACACCCTAATCTGAATCTGAGACTTTCTACCCCCACAAATGGTGTTTAATCCTAAGTTTTATGAACTGGGCAGTTCTTGTGTCACATACAAATGTCCAGTCTTTTTCTTAAAAATAACCAAACAAAACAAAATCCCTCAGCTCTTGGTTTCAACAACAAAACGGGGGAAATGAGTTCTGCCAACTGGAAGTCCAAGGGAGGACTCCTGTTTCCATGGAATTTCAGTGGTGGGTCCTTGGGACCCAGTTGATTTAACTACCGTATGCAGGAATTATGTCAAAAATCAATCGCAGGTGTCCTGATTCCTAGCCCAAGTAGAGTCCTGAGAATGAGGCATTTGCTTGAAGCAAGGAGCTAAGAGGATTGACTGTAACTTGGCTGGTTGCAGAGACACACACCACATCCATCCAGTTCCTTCACTTTTTAACTTTGCCAGAAGTTCCATTTATTTGGCCAAGTTTAGAGAGCAGCTCTCAGTTTGGTGATGGGCTTATCCCTGTACTGGGCACTCCGATGCAGCTCTGGCACAGCACCTAAAAAACAAGGTGTCCTGCATTCTCTTCCTTTCAGTGTTTACTGGGACTACGCCTTAATCGTGCCATTCAGTCAGATCGTCTGCATACACTGCCATCAGCAACGTAAGCATAAGCCTTCTCATCACAGAGGTGCCTCA